AAAAAAAAAAAAAAAAAAAAAAAAAAAAAATTTTAAAAATAAAAAAAAATTTACCCCCCTTTTTTCCCCCCCCAAAAAAAAAAAAAAAAATTTTTTAAAAAAAAAAACTTTAAAAATTTTTTCCCAAAACCCCAATTTAAAAAAATTTTTTCCCCCCCCAAAAAAATTTTCCCAAACCCCCCCCCCCCCCAAAAAACCCCAAAAAAAAAAAACCCCCCCCTTTTCCCAAAAAAACCCCAAAAAATTTTTTTTTCCCAAATTTTTTCCCCCAAAAGGAAACCCTTTTTTTTTCCCCTTTTTTTGGGGCAAAAAAAATTTCCCCCCCAAAAAAAAAAAAAATAAAAAAAAAAAAAAAATTTTTAAAACAAAAAAAATTTAATAAAAATTTTTTTTTTTTAAAAAAAAACCCGGTTTTAAAAAAAAAAAAAAAAAAAAAAAATTTTTTTTTAAAAAAAAATTTTAAAAAAAAAAAACCCCGGTTTTTTCCCCCTTTTTAAAAAAACCCCTTTTTTTCTTTTTTTTTTAAGGGGAAAAAAAAAACCCCCTTAACCGGGCCTTGGGGAAAAAAAAACCAAAAATTTTTTTTTTTAAAAAAAAAAAAAAAAATTTTAAAAAAAAAAAAAGGGGGTTTAAAAGGGGTTTTTTTTAAAAAAAAAAAAAATTTAAAAAAAAATTTTTAAAAAAAAAGGGGGTTTTTAAAAAAAAAAAAGGGGGGGGGGGGTTTTTTGGGGGGGGAAATAAAAAAATCGGGAACAAAAAAAAAGGGGGGGGGGGAAAAAAATTTTTTTTTTGGGGAAAAAAAAAAAGGGGAAAAATTTTTTTGGGGATTAAAGTAAAGGTTTGGGTGCAGAAGTGGGGCATAATAAGCGTGTATGCACCTGGAGAAGAGAGGAAAAGCAGAGGAGAGAGAGAGAAATTTTTGGGGGAAAGTTTAAATGAAAAAAAGGAAACCTTGAACCCAATGAGAGAGTAAATTTTGGGAGGGAAACCGAATTTAAAGTGGAGAAAAATTTTTGAAGGGGGTGGTAGGTAAATTTGGGGGGCCCGGTTAAATGTAATGGGGCCCTTTTATTAACTTTGAAAAAAAGGGTTTTTGTTATAGGTAATACATATTTTAAGAAAAAGAGGATAAAAAAGTATACAAATATGATGTAGGGGAAAAAGACATAGTTTGTTGGATTAAAAGTATTGGAGAAAGGAGACGTTGAATAGACTTCAGGATGTACATGTTTAAAGGGGCCACAGATATATCAGATCACTTTCCAAATTTCAGCTACACGAGAGTAAAAGGAAATGGGTACAAGGAGAATAAAGCATCAGGGAAGAGAGAGGTGAAGGTTTATAAACAAAAAAAGGAGGGATTTTGGGTAAGATAAAAAACTATTGGAGGAAAAGATGGGCTTTAAAGAGAGCCCTAGGCAAAAGGGGCGAAAAAGGAAAGGGGTAGGTTTTAAAAAAAGTAGTGTTAAAGTGTTCAGCAAAAATTTGGGTTAAAAGGGAAAATGGGTGTGGGGGGGGAAGAGGGGCGATTGGGGGAAAAAATGTAAAGAGAGAAATAAGGGGGGAAAAAGTTAGCATATAAAGTTTTTTAAAAAAGAGAAGTGATGCAAGGGGGGAAAGTATTTGGAGAAAAAGAGAGAGGGTTTAAAAGAGTGGTGAAGCAAGTAAAAAAAAGCAAAAGAAGAGGGGGTGAGATTTTTATCAACAAATTTTTGTTGAAAATAAGAAAAAATTTTGGAGTAGATTAACAAGTTAAAAAAGCCTAGAGAACAAATGGATTTGTCAGTTTAAAAAAAGGAAAAGGGAAAATTTTTTAAATGGGGAAATTAAAAGGGATTTGGGAAAAGGAGGAAAAATTTTGAAATTTTTAAAAGTTGAGAAAATAGGGGGAAGCTGTGAATTTTTGTGTATAGGGGAAAAAAAGGGAAAAACACTTGTAGGGGGGGGAGGGAAAAAGCCATTGGGAGTGTGGGGGAAGTTTGTGAGGCGTAAAAAAAGGGAAAATGAAAGGGGGGTAAGGCAGCTGGGGTTGAAAGGGATAAAGATAGAAATTTAAAAACAGGGGGGGATATAGTTTTTTGGGGTGTTGGGGCAATTAATTTTAAAAAATGGGAAAGGAAGAGGGGAAGGTACCTAGGGGTTTTCAAGAACATGCAAAGTTCCTTTTTATAAACAAGGGGGGAAAAAAAAGTGGGGAAAAATTAAAAGGGGGATAATCTTTTTAGAGTTTTTTTAACCTGGTAAAGTGTATGGTAAATTATTATGAAAGAATTAGAGTAAACGGAGAATAAAAAATTTCAAGAAAAAGGGAGGTTTTTGGGAAAGGTAGGGGTGTGTGGACCAGGTTTTTTCAGTGAAACATAAAATGAACAATTTAGATAGGGCTAAAGAGTTTTTGTGGCTTTTAGGGTTTTGGAAAAGGCGTATGAAGGGGGGATAGGGGGGCAATGTGGAGAGGTTGCAGGTGTATGGTGTGGGGGTGGGTTTACTGAAAGCATAAAGGGTTTTTTACGGGGAAGGAGGCCAATTTAGAGATGTAGGAAGAGGGAAATTTTTCCCAAAAATAGGCCTTAGCAAGGATGGGGTTTAACCGGGTTGTTTAATTATTATAGATGGGTTGGAAAGAAGAAATGCGGGGGTCTGGAAAGGGGCGGGGATTAAAAAGATAAAAAATCAACAAGGGGCGTTGTCAATTTGCTCTTTTGTTTGACACTGTGCTCGGAGATTGAAGGAAGTGCAGAGTTTGGGGGATAATTTTGGGTGGGGTTTGTGAAAAAGAAAAAAATTTAAAAGTGAATACAGGAAAGAGGGGTTATGAGGTAACAAAAAATGGGTGAAAAGTTTGGATATCAGTTGGGGGGAGAAGAATGGAGGAGGTGAAGTATTCGTTTTTTTGGGAGTGGACGTGTCAGCGGAGGGGTCTTTTGAAAGAGGGTGAATCATAGAATTGATGAAGGGAAAAGGGAGGGTGCACTTAGGAGTCTGTGGGGCAAAGAACTTTGTCCTTGGGGGCAAAGAGGGGAATTAGAGAGTATAGTTTTTTTCCAACCCTTAAAATGGTGGAACATGGGTGAATGTTGCAGCGAGGAGAAGGCGGAGGCAGTGAGATGCATGTCTGAGGGAAAAGTTGGGGGGAATTAAGCAGAAATTCGTATTTTTGGGAAATTTGGAGGAGTGCGGGGTTACCCAAAAATGTTGCCAGAGGGCTAGGAAAGGGTTTTTGAGGTGTTTGAACATGTAGAGAGAATGGAGCAAACAGAAGACTCAAGAGTGTACAGTCTGTAGGGGAAAGGAAAGGGGGGGTAGGGGGCGGCCTAGGAAAATTGGGGGAGGGGTAAAGGAGGTTTTTTTGTGCGGGGGCTTGATTCCAGCAGGCTGCGTGAGCGTGTTTGATAGGAGGGAAAGGGGCAAATGTTTATAATACTTACGTGTGTTGGGGTGTGAGCAAAGTAAATTTTTGAAGGGGTTCAGGGAAAACCCGGGAGGCCCGGGCTTTAGCCTGGAATGGGGAAATACAGTGCCTGACTCTGAAGGGGGGGGTGTTAAAAGTTGCGTTTTAAAAAGTAGTGTAAAACACCCATAAAAATAAAAAAAAATAAAAATAAAAAATATATAAAAAATTATAATATATATATTTTAGTATGCAAATACGCAAACCAAGCGATGCAGGATCAAAACAATCAGGGGGGATAAAGCTAGCTCTGGGCCTTTCGTGTTGCAATCGACACCCAGGAGTTTGCGTTTGCAGTAAAAAAGGTTTCCAAGAAAATACGATCCCAAAGGAGTTTTTCAGGGACGTCTTCACCCATGAAACCCCAGTGTATTTGCTTGGATTCTTCTTTTTTCGAACTTTGAAAAGTCCTGATGGTTAATTGCAACCCAAAAGGGCCCTAGAGCTAGCAATTCTACTCCCCCCTTGGTTGTTTTGCATCCTGTATCGCTTGGTTCACGATATTTTCATTTTAATATATATATATATATATATATATATAATATATATATATATATATATATATATATATATATATATATACATTATAGGTAGTAGGATGGAGACAGCAACCACCCAGGGAGGTACTCCCTTTCCTGCCAAGTGAGTGTAAAACGGAAGCCTGTAATTGTTTTACATGATGGTAGGATTGCAAGGAATTCGCGAGAGCAGGCGAAATATACACAAACACTGATCTCTGGCTGAAGGAGATTCGAACCTACGAACCTTGGAACAAGGTACGCAGTGCTATACCAAACTCACCACACTGGACCAATACCTTGGAGTCCAGCTTGCGCTAGACTTTGATTCAAGGCAGCCAGCTTTCAGGGAGAAGGCTTACAGCTTTTCATCTCATCCCCTGCATGCATCAACCTTACTAGAGATTTTAACAATGCAAGGAATTCGCGAGAGCATGCGAGTTGGTGGAGCTGGACGAGTGATATGTAGGCAGTTTTGATTGATAAGGTCGTGAGCATCCAAAAGTGCGTGTTAGACTTGAGTTAGCGGGGACAAGTGGATTCAGGATTTGGTCTGATTTCTGGGGTTGGAAGTACAAATGAGAGATGTTGCAGTTTGAATTAATGGTGAAGTAGATGCTGTCATTTTTCTTTCAATTCTTCCTCGATAATTCGAGAAACTCTTTGTATGGTTTTGAGAATTTTGAATGTTCATTGTGTGAAAATTTTCTAGATGATAAACATAAAAAATCTACTGTATTTTTGAAGATAGTTGTAAAAGTTAAAGCCTATCAACATTCTTAATGGTGATATGAGAAAAACGGATAGTTATTAATATAAATCAAACAGCAAACACAGTGAAGGTAACATTTTGTTTTCTAAGATACATGACTCAGTGATTCTAAGACATGACTGCCGCAGCTACTAACACATTCCCACAAACATTCATCACTACTACAACCACACAAACACACTCTTATTAATATTCACCACAGTTTGTCGCATATCACTTATTCATACTAGTATGTCTAATACAATCTTTCTCACTCCAGATTCTCCAGCTTCCAAATTTTATACCACCGCTACCACCATCACCACCAACACCACCGCTGCCACCATCACCACCGCTACCACCATCACCACCAACACCACCCCTACCACCATCACCACCCCTACCACTAGCACCAGCCCAACCATCAAAGCTGATAAGTACATCGCTCTCTATGACTACGTGGCTGTAGACAGCGAGAGCATCTCCCTTAAGAAGGGCGAGGTGATGGAAGTGGTGTTCCAGCCTGACAATCACTGGTCATATGTCAAGGTGTTGCGGGGAAGCAGCGTCGTCAACGAAGGCTACATCCCAACATCTTACATAACCAAACTCGGGGAAAACGTCAATCAGCCGTGAGTATAAATCGTACTTTTTGTTTTACATAGTTTAGCTATGTAAGCAGAATCATTTCTAAGAATTATCCATCGATAATCTAGGAAGATCTTTTTTTAATATCTTGCACAGATTTTTCTGTATTTCTAGAACTGTATAACTTCTAGATATAACTCATCGTGGGGCTTTAGGAAAGTCTACACGCGATACATAATATGCTCGTAAAAAAAGAGAGTTTGTCAATTACTATTTGACAGTCCTATGGGTATACAGAAATTACAGTCAGTGCAAGCCAGTTTCTCGAAGTGTGACACCTTCGGGTAGTTGCAGTTGCAAGGGTCGAGTCTCAGCTCCTAACTCCTCCTCTTAACTATACTAAACCAGTTCCACCTAACGAGTTCCTACCTTATGCTTCCCCTGTAATATCTAACCTTAAAGATATGTACATTGTTCATTCACGATATATCTTCCTCTAAATCTTTCCACCTCCCGAGGCTAAATAAATATTTCCTGAAACAACCTTGAGACTCACTTGCAAGTTTAGCTTCTAGTTGTATCTCCTTGTTCTCGACTCCTGTCATTTTAGCTACTGTCCCTGTTTGCCTCGCCAAGACCTCTAAATATATTGTACATAATTTTCGTGGTTTTCCTGGTCCTACTTTTCTTTTAAGTCGTCAAGGTCATTTTCTTTAGCCTCTTCTCATAACTCAGCTCTCTGAATTTTCTTTAGTTTCTTCACATGCTTGGTCAAGTGTGGGCTCCGGGCAGGCGCTGCATAATCTGTGAGAGGTCTGTCATTCATTATATACAGCCTCTATCTGCAGCCTCTATCTTACTCTTGATCTCTTTGAGTCTTCCTTGGCAAACTTAATTGAGTATAAACAGCCATTGTCTCAACACCTGACAAGCAGGGTATCTGCTGGAATGATAATTACTCTCTACCATTCCTCTTTCCTATTTTCAGAACTTAACACTTGATGAAGACGAATTAACGTATTCTTTAACTTGACCTTCTCTATATTTTTTTTCCAAGACGTTAAATGATCTTTCCAAGTTTTTCAGAGTTTTTGTTACCCGCATTAATTTTAAATCTTTTGCGAAAATCGAAGTACAAAAGGACATTATCTATTCGTCCAAGTAGTTTAGGCATATTAACAAAACTAACCCCTGTGGATGTCTGGGAATAAGAGAGTATCATCCCAGTTAAGTTCATAATTCCACTCTTAACATTAAGGATAAAACTAAACTAAACGTATTTCTTGTCGGGGTTTCCATTCCCCCTGTAACGGGGATGTTCCATAGTATCGGTCGGGTTTCCACCTGTAACGTGATTTTCCCATAAATCTGCGGGTTTCCAGTCTCTGAAACGGATTTCCATATAACGTTCAGGTTTTCCAGTCTCTGTAACGTGATGTTCCAAGTATCGGTCAGGTTTCCAGTCTCTTAACGGATTTTCCTATTACTGTCATTTCCATCTCTTAACGTGATGTTCCATAGTATCGTGTCAGGTTTCCAGTCTCTGTAAAGTGATGTTCCATATTATCGTGTGTCCTTGAAGTCAGTCTGAAATAATGAGAGCTGCGCAAGACTGTTTTTTAATCTTGTCTAACTGATCAAAGACTGAAAAAATACATGTGATTTGTTAAGAATACTCGTATCAGCCTAGCTTCCTTCCTTCTTTAACAACAGCTCAAGTAAAGAAAAAAAGGGGATGAAGAGATGCATGAAAAAAAGAAGAGAGAAGAGAGCAGAGGATAAGATATGGGGACTAAGTAAGAGGGAAAGGATTAAGTGAAATAACAGAAGTAGTGTATGATTATTGTGTGTTTATTCAGCTCTTGCGTGGTGAAAGATACGTATGTTCTGATCAAAATATTTACTTACGAACCGTTTCTTCACTTCTAATACACATTAGGCAGAACAAGTGGTATATATACGTGGTACAGTGAGGAAATGGTATGGTGATACCGACAAGATGTGGAAAAAGACACTTATGTACAGTTCAGGACATTTATTAAAGGAAACGTTTCGCCACACAGTGGCTTCATCAGTCCATACAAAGGAGAATCTTGAAGAACAGGAGGAGAATGAGGTAATCAGTCCCTCAACCTTTAGTCGATGTGGTCAGTCCATCAAGATTGATGGACTGACCACATCGACTAAAGGTTGAGGGACTGATTACCTCATTCTCCTCCTGTTCTTCAAGATTCTCCTTTGTATGGACTGATGAAGCCACTGTGTGGCGAAACGTTTCCTCAATAAAGATACCCAAGAGTTGCACATGTGTCTAATTTATCAACATGTCGGTTCTCTGAACCATTCATCTACAAAGTAGTAGTAGTAGTAGTAGTAGTAGTAGTTTCGCCACTCGTGGCGAAACGTTTCCTTTAATAAATGTCCTGAACTGTACATAAGTGTCTTTTTCCACATACGTGGTACAGAAGGTCAGGGAAACGTAGTTACAAGTTCTCGGTTTCACCATACTAGATCCATCCCAGCTGGCCCGTATATACTTGTTCCTTCTCTCCTTCCTGTTAGTGTAACTTTGCAAATGGTCCAAGTCAGACCGAAACGTCGTTTAAGCCTCTCTCTTCTATGTGGGGGTTGTGTTTAGATTCATCCTCTTCAGTTTTGTTCTACGTAACATGTGTTACAAGACCATCTCGATGTGTGAAGCATCTGTGTTTGTGTATGCGTGCGTGCGTGCGCAGTAGCTGCGTCGTACAATCTGACTACCGAGGTGCAACATGCTACCAGCGTCCAAACCTTCATACCCAGAAGCGCAGATCTAGGCTGAGATTTTTTCTAACTGTGAAACATTTTGACCATGTTTTCTTTTTAATGTTTTTTATAAGAGCGGCTAAGTAATTCGGTTTGTTCGTCTGTCTGTCCAACCAATGTTCCTGAGAACTGGCTACGTTAAAACACTGCATAGAGCTGTAAGAATGACTGGTAAATTACTTACGAGTTTATTTTTACTGTTAAACTCTCGTACTTCTTCGGGATTGCTTCCTTGAAGAAAATCTGATATTCTCTTCACAGATCAATGCTGTGTCTATCGAATTTTCAGAAATCATTATCGACTCCAATTTGAATAAAATTTCTTCATCGATTTTTTCTTGTATGCTGTAAATATTATATAGCAAACTAAATACTGACTCAAGCTTGGTCATCCAAGTGATTAACAGCATCAAAGACTGATAAATAGAGAGTTCCTTTAAACCTTTGTTTTGAGTTGTTAATCAGCGTGTCTCGTCCCTTAAACCAAGGCTTCTCTTTCTTTTGCTGAATGTGAACTGGCCAGGGTTCAAATTCCGCCGGGAAGTTTAATTTCCTCATTAACCTCGAGAGAATCTACCAGTTTTCTTCCTAACTCATCACTTCCGAATTCCTCAAGATTCTTTTTCTTTACCTTACCGAAGTTTTTGAATAATAGAATATTTATCGAGGTTCTTTTCGTGAAGGATCTTACTAGTGAGACATATCTCCAAAACGAATAAAGTCACAAAGTTGTATTTATAAAGGCGACAATGAAGTCTCAGCATCTGGACGTGCCCTGATGCCGGATGATCCAGCATGAGCGGTATTATCAGTAATTTCAATTAGGATTTTATGTTTCCAGGGTCATACCAAGAGGTTGTGAGGCATTACTTCAACGTTTCCACGTTGCCTGATTAACTGGTTATCCAGCCAGAGAATTTGCAAGGCGAGTCAAAGTTTCCCGAAGGTTATGTTAAACACGAAGAAAAAAACGAGCAGAAACACGTTTTAGCAGACCTAAGAAACAGCATCAATAACAACAACAAGGACAGTCAAGATCAATGACAACCAAACTCAAAAAATGCGCATTGCAAGGACCAAAAAAAAAAAGTCATCAGACTTATTTCTATTATTTTCTTCTCCACACCATTATCTCTACCTTTCATGTTACCCCAGTTATCATCTCCTTGTTCACATATTTTTTCAAAATAATGACAGTGCTTCAAGCTCTTGTAGAATGTTGCAGTCATAAATGTTGCAGTCATAAATGTTGCAGTCATAAATGTTCCAGTCATAAATGTTCCAGTCATAAATGTTGCAGTCATAAATGTTGCAGTCATAAATGTTGCAGTCATAAATGTTGCAGTCATAAATGTTGCAGTCATAAATGTTGCAGTCATAAATGTTGCAGTCATAAATGTTGCAGTCATAAATGTTGCAGTCATAAATGTTGCAGTCATAAATGTTGCAGTCATAAATGTTCCATCATAAATGTCCAGTCATAAATGTTGCAGTCATAAAATGTTGCAGTCATAAATGTTGCAGTCAAAATGTTCCAGTCATAAATGTTGCAGTCATAAATGTTGCAGTCATAAATGTTGCAGTCATAAATGTTGCAGTCATAAATGTTCCAGTCATAAATGTTCCAGTCATAAATGTTCCAGTCATAAATGTTGCAGTCATAAATGTTGCAGTCATAAATGTTGCAGTCATAAATGTTCCAGTCATAAATGTTGCAGTCATAAATGTTGCAGTCATAAAGTTGCAGTCATAAATGTTGCAGTCAAAATGTTCCAGTCATAAATGTTCCAGTCATAAATGTTCCAGTCATAAATGTTCCAGTCATAAATGTTCCAGTCATAAATGTTCCAGTCATAAATGTTCCAGTCATAAATGTTGCAGTCATAAATGTTCCAGTCATAAATGTTCCAGTCATAAATGTTCCAGTCATAAATGTTCCAGTCATAAATGTTCCAGTCATAAATGTTGCAGTCATAAATGTTGCAGTCATAAATGTTCCAGTCATAAATGTTCCAGTCATAAATGTTCCAGTCATAAATGTTCCAGTCATAAATGTTTGCAGTCATAAATGTTGCAGTCATAATGTTGCAGTCATAAATGTTGCAGTCATAAATGTTCCAGTCATAAATGTTGCAGTCATAAATGTTCCAGTCATAAATGTTGCAGTCATAAATGTTGCAGTCATAAATGTTGCAGTCATAAATGTTCCAGTCATAAATGTTCCAGTCATAAATGTTGC